ATGGGTTGCATTTTCTTGTTTTGTCTCTCCTCCCTGCACATGCGTACTTCCAAATGTGGTGCTGCCTTTCCACTTCCCCCTTTCCACTTCCTCCTTTCCACTTCCCCCTTTCCACTTCCCCCTTCACTTCCCACTTTCCACTTCCCCCTTTCCACTTCCCCCTTTCCACTTCTCCCTTTCCACTTCTCCCTTTCCACTTCCCCCTTTCCACTTCCCCCTTTCCACTTCCCCCTTTCCACTTCCCCCTTTCCAATTCTCCCTTTCCACTTCCCCCTTTCCACTTCCCCCTTTCCACTTCCCCCTTTCCACTTCCCTCTTTCCACTTCCTCCTTTTCACTTCCCCTTTTCCACTTCCCCCTTTCCATTTCCCCCTTTCCACTTCCCCCTTTCCACTTCCCCATTTCCACTTCCCCATTTCCACTTCCCCTTTCCACTTCCCCCTTTCCACTTCCCCATTTCCACTTCCCCATTTCCCACATGCGTATTGCAAACCGCCGTGCTGCCTTTCCACTTCTCCCCTTGCGCTTCCCCCGTTCAGCTGGCCCCTTTGGCACGTTCGTCCTTTTAGTGTGTAGCTCTGCATCCTCCCCTAGCCTTCGCCTTCCCCTTTCCCCGCTTCGTTCTTCCTTTCTGCCCGTTGGTTGACCATTCCCCACCGATGCGAGCAGGCAGGCAATGAGGAGGAGGAGGAGCCTCAAGGGGGTAGCTGGGGGGGTAGGAGGGGCGCGAGGGGTGGAAGGAGGAGTGGGAGGAGAGGAGCGGCTGACGAGTGTGGAGGAGCTGATGGAGGGCATCTTTGCACGCACACACACATGTGCGATGCCAGCCCAGGCACAGCAGTTCCAGCAAAGCCCGGGAATGGGGTTGACTTGAAGCTGGTCGTGAGACGAGCAAGGTGACCTTGGAGCAAGCCTTCTGGCTCGCCATCCTTGATTTACTTGCCAGGGCATAGCTTGCCGGTTTCGGTGGATGGATGGATGTGTGCACGGGAGAATGATATTCTGGTTAGCGTGCAATCATGTGGGTATGATAGGGTCGGGGACATGATTTCCAGTGTGCGGCCAGCTTGGCTTGTGGTGAGATGCAAGATGCTGGAAAGCATCCTCTTGTCCCTCCTGCGGCCTGCCCTGCCACCTCCCCACCCCCCTGCTCGTTGCAGCGCTGTTAGCCGTGCTAGCGGACTGCACGTATGTGGGCATGGTGGATGAGAGGCGCCTGTTGCTGCAGCACTCCACGTCGTTCTACCTCGTTGATGCTGTCGGCGTCAGGTGGGATGGGGGTGTCAGGTGTGAGTGTGAACTGCCATGGCCAACTATTCTCACGCACCCACACACCGTGTTACTCTGAGCAACACGTGACGGTTCAATATTCATACTTGCCATACATACCATTCTTGCGATGCTTACCATACTTGCCATACCACCTGCACTACTATCACACTGTGCGCTACTTCTCTGGCTGCACCGTGCTTTCCTCTACAGCAAAGAGCTGATGTGGCAGCAGGCAATTTGTCACTTCGCGTGCTTCACGTGCATGACGCTGCACCTGGCCCCACTGCTCGCCGATCTGCTGGTGCTGGTGCTGGAGGAGGAGGAGCGGGAGGGCAGGCGCACGCAGGCTCATGGGAGCAAGCAGGAGATGGTGGAGGAGAGTTGGAGCCCAGTGAGGGTCACTGTGATCGTAATGCAGCCGACTGTGCTGCTCTAACACCGGCTCCTCCTGCTTGGATCACTTGCCCATCACAACATATTGATGCCCTTGTTTCCCCCTCTCCTCTCCTCTCCTCTCCTCTCCTCTCCTCTCCTCTCCTCTCCTCTCCTCTCCTCTCCTCTCCTCTCCTCTCCTCTCCTCTTCCCTCCTCTCCTCTTCTCTCCCCTCCTCCTCTCTCCTCTCCTTGCGTTGTACTCATGCTGGTGCTGCCTTTACCTCGTCCTTGCCTCTCCACACCCCGCACATCACCACAACGCAGTGTGTCCCAATCGACTCACATACCATGCCTCTCACACCACAATACTTCCCATCCACCTCCCATCCAACCTCAGTCGCCCCAAAGCTCACCTCTTCCAAGACAACTTCCCGGCCGCCCCAACCCAGCTGATCAGCATTGCTGCTGGAGATGAGTGTCGTGCTAGGTTGCCAGAATAGACACGCACTCATCTGACGCAGAATCTTGTTTTTCGTCACACTCTTCTCACTCATCTGAGTCGTCCCTTCTCCCTTCCCCCTCACACCGCTCACCATGCATCAGTGCACTTGCTCCAGCCCACTGCAGGACCACTACCGACATGTTTCCATATCCTCTTATCCCACTCCCACCTCGCTTCCCTTGCGTGCACCAGGCGTGGGTGGCGGTGGTGCAGGGCAGGGCGGAGATGCTAGCAGAGTTCTTCCTCAACCCCCCCAGCGCATGGCCAGGGATGGCAGCTTCATCAAGGTGAGATGCAATCGCCTTGCTCTGGTTATCGGAATAGCTGTGCAGGAATGATTGGATTAGCAAGATTTGGGGTACGAGTATTAACCATAGAAGTGCTCTACCCCATAGGGAGTGCCCCACTATAGCCTACATTGTACTTCAACACACCCCCATAGGCTAAGTGGGGGACAACAAGACGGTCACAAGACCAGTCAAGCAAGACAACAGAGCAAAGCAAAGCTCAGGGTGGATCTCAAGGACATCACACAATCCGAGCACAAGCAAGCGGCCACAAGGCCAGTTCACATGCAGAGTTATAATAGCAAGGCAGTACACTAATCACAACCTAGCAAGAGGAAACGTGCAGGTATAAATATAGATATCCATGTACAACAATTTCAAGATCAAGAGACAAGCAGGTGAGGTAGAACGGGCAGAAGCCCAAGAGTAGTGCAAAAACGCTGAAGATCACCAGACCCGAGGGCCTTGGTGAAGACGTCAGTAGTATTGGCCCGAGAGGCTACGTAAGAAAGACGAAGCTGACCACGTTGCTGCAACTCTCGAGCAAGAAAGTAGCGAAGAGCAATGTGCTTCGTTCTGTGCTCCAGTCTCTGCTTGCGACACAAGGCAAGCATTGCCTTGTTGTCGACATACAGGACTGGAGGAGAACGAGGCCGCTCCCCCAAGTCGGTCAGCAGGTAGGTCAGCCAGCGTAGCTCCTGTGCAGCCATGGCCCAAGTGTAGATCTCGGCCTCACAGTTGGAACCAAGCACAGAAGAAGAACGAGTGGACCTCCACGAGACCGAACCAGAGACAAGACTGAAAGTGTAACACTGTGACGAACGACGAGTCGCCTGGTCATCGGCCCAAGAAGCGTCGGAGTGTCCTGTGAGTACCACTGGACCCCGTCCTCCAAGCACGAGCCCCATGCCCGATGTACTGCACAAGCAACGTGGTACCCTCTTCGCAACATCAAACTGCACCTTTCGGTGTCTACGGAGAGCCACGTAGCGAGCCAGGAGGCTGAGAGTGTACACGAGGTCAGGTCGTGTGTACGTCACCAGGTACATGAGGCAACCCACAAGCTATGGGTATGGACCACTCGGCTCTACGGACTCGTCCGAAGGTGGAGCTGAGAGCGAGTGGCCGGTAGACAGAGGAGTAGGTTGTGGCGAGGAGTACTAGAAGCCGAAGCGCCGAAGAACCTGGTGCACCATGTGTGACTGAGTCAGGGTGATGGTGCGCCGTGCTTTGTCCCGGGTGATCTGCAAGCCAAGATAGCTATGCAGCTCACCCAGATCGGTGCAGGTGTGTCTCTCCTGCAGCTCCGCCTTCACTAGGGCCAGCGCCTCACAGTCAGCAGTAGCAAAAACCAAGTCGTCGACGTACACAAGAATGTAGAACGGCGATAGGGTAGTGTCGGTGCGTGGAAACAGCGACGGGTCAGCAAAGGAAGGAGAAAACCCAAGAGACGCAAGTGTAGTCCTCAGTGTGTTGTGCCACTCTCAGGGCGCCTGGCGGAGACCGTTGACTGGCCGCCGGAGGCTCCACTGGGTACCCGCAGGAAATGACCCAGTGAAGCCAGGTGGGTGGCACAAGAAAGCTGTGGAGAAGTCAAGGGAGTGCAGCTCGTAGTCACGCTGTGCTGCAACGTGCAGCAGCACCCGAAGAGTAGTCATCTTTGAGGTGGGGGAGAAGGTCTGGAAGAAGTGGACCCCCTGTCTCTGACTGAAGCCTCGAGCAACGTAACGCGCCTTGAAGGCCGGCGGAGAAGCTTCACTCTGAAAATCCACACGCCATCAACTATGTTCGCCCAAGGAGGAGGAACATCGTCGACGTAGGTGCCTACAAGAATTCCTAGAAGCCATCTCTGCATCCATGGCTGTTTGCCACTGAGAGGAGTACTCACCCGCGATCACCTCAGCGTAAGTGCGCGGTGTAGGGATGTTAAGTGCATCCGGGTCTCCCTCAGGGCAAAGCAGCATGGATGCGAAACGAGGTGAAGCGGCCGCAAGACACTCAAGCTCAAACTGCCTGTCCTCAAGGACGCCACTACTAAGGGCAGGCTCACCTCCGACGGATGGAGGACAGACAGACTCAGACTCAGTAACAGGACTCGCAACGTAGTCGAGACGACTGCTAGCTGCAAAGTTGACTAGCTCAGTGACTAGGGCAAACGCAGCAGTTGACTCAAAGTCAGGGTCACTGACGACAGTAGCGAGGAGACGAGTGACAGTAGGTTGGACTCAAAGTCAGGAATGTGCGGAACAGAGGACGCGGGAGGCTCAGGCAGGACAGCACGCTGTGGAACAGAGGAAGGACAAAGTGCCATGCCGGAATGCCTGGGACAGCAGGAGGACGAGGACGGGCGACACGACGAGCACGAGCAGGTGTGGAAGCACGAGTCTCAGGCTCACGACGCTCAGTCAGGGACTCAGTCACCTCAGTGTGAGGAGAAGGAGCAGGCAGTGGGGAGCCAGGTAGTAGCTGTCAACGGGAGTCGTTTTGAGGGCCCGTCCTCGCTTGGGCGGAGCCGACTTCGTGGTCGGGTGTGAGGGGAGCAGCCAACCTGCAGTAGTGGGCGAAGTTGTCGATAGTGTTGGTCGGCCTGCACGGGGGCCTCTGCACGAGCGCCGACTTCATGATGGCGCCAACTTCGAGGAAGTCGACCTGCGGAGGGCGTCGACTTGGTGAAGCCAACTTGGGGCAGCCGACTTGGGTGGCTGGCTGACACGTATGCTGGTCGACCCAGTGATTCGTCGACCAGAAGTGTTGTCGACCTGGTGGTCGACCAAACCTGGTGGTCAACAAAGGAGGGGCCAACGTCGACCTCGACATGGGAGATTGGGGACGCCGAGCAGCTGGGCGTCGAGCAGGAGGGCGCCGAGCAGCTGGGCGTCGAGAAGGAGGGTGCCAGGCTTGTGCAGCCGGCGGCCGACCGAGCTGGTCAACCAGGAGTAGTTGACCGGTCGATCAGGATACCCGGGCAACGTGTGCGAAGGTCGCCGGGGTAGTTCTGTGAGGCCGACCTCGGAAGTGGTATCCCAAGGTCGACGTGGCTGGTGGGCGCAGTCGCTGGCGTGGAGTCGACTTGGACGTCTGCGCTGTGCACGTGACACGGAAAAGTGCACCAACCAGCTGCGCGCACCAACGAAGCAGGTGCACAATTGTCCTGCGGGTGCAACGTTGTGCAGCCGACTTGTTGCAGCGTTGGCACACTGTGGACTTGCAACGTTGGCAAGCCACGACCTTGCTCTGCTTGAGCGCGGTCGACCAAGTCGTGGTGGCACGCGGTCGACCGTGCTGCGCTGGAAGTCGACCAGCAGCCTTGCTAGGTTTGATGTAGTCTTGCATCCCAATGTTGTTGCGACCATTTTTGTTGTGAAATTTTGCTAGTGAAACTCTTGCCAATCTTCCCCGTGAACCAGCACGTAGTGCAAGCACAAGTAAACGACTAAGTGAATGAACGCAGAGATCACACGAGCACTCGTGCCTAGCCCGTAGTCTAGCTCCCGTTGCTAGAGTTATCTCCGCATGGTGCGGTGAGCGTGGACGGCACACGGATTACCTTTCAGTCAGGTTGACGTAGTGGTCACTTACCTAAATTGTTCGTAGGCCGACATTCGTGCAGTCACTAGCGTGCACGTAGGTGACACAGTGGTAATGGACACCCTGGAGGCACAGCCGGAGGATGCGAGGAGACGCCAGTAGGCCCAGGAGTACGGGGCTATTCTCTGGGCGGTCGTTGAGGCTGGACTCCGCTCCGTGTGGGCGAAGGAGCACCCCCCTTCTCGACCAGCCTCTCCTCGACCGGTGAACAGCGAAGGCGGCATTGACGTTGGCGTCAATGCCGGTGGTGGCCAAGTCGGCAGCAGTGCGGGAGGCATGTCGAGACACCGAGGTATGATTCACGCCGATGAAGTCGGCGGCGTTCAGACGCGAGAACTGCAATTGTCGGCGGCTGCAGGCTCCTCACAGGGCAACGTCGGAGGTCGATGAAGCTGATTGTCGCCGATGTCGGCAACCCACGTGGCAGCGGGCGGAATTGCACCGAGCTACAGCTACTTCAAGTTTATGCCGGACAGGATCTTGGTCACCCCTCTGCTGGTCGGCCGACCCGACATTCTCACCTGGAAGGAAGCCATCAAGCCCCGGTTAGAGATGGCAGGGCTAATCGGCTTTGCCCGCGGTACCGTGGCGACGACGGAGGACGCCGACCTGCGTGCAGAGTTTCGCGCCGTGCAGCTGCTGACCTTCACGGCCATCTCGCGGTGCTGCTCACTGGGCATGCAGA